CAACAAACAATATTTTATTTAAATCAATTGTGTTAAAGTTATTATTATTATTTTTTTTTTGTGCAATCAATTAATAACACCTCGGATAAAAATAATTATTATTATTATTAGTATTATTATTATTTTTATTTTTTTTTTTTAAATTTGGCACAACCGACTGCGCGATCGCCTCGGCAAAACTAACTAACGTACTACGCTCATTACGTTAAACAATTTTTATAAAAAAAAAAAAAAACGAAATAAATTTCCGTGTTTCGCTCATGTTTAACTTATAACTCAACCGTACCTGAAATTCAATGTCAAATATCACGCTCATGCTTATCTTATTCAATGTCGAAAACATTCACTAATGTCATAGAACCACGATTTAGTCAGTCAGTCAATCAATCATTAAGCGTACCTTTGAATATTTTATTGTTTTTTAATTACCCGAAAAAAATTTTTCTTTTTTTTTGGGAAAGGGTCACACGTGTGTTAGGTGAGGAAAAAAACGTCACCCACGTCACCCACGTGACCTACGTAACGTATTTTTTATATAAATAAAATCGAACGAATGTAATCGATTATAACGAAATTCTTATTAATGACGAAATAATTTATTTATTTATTTATTTATTTTTTTTTGGGCAAAACCTACGCGAAAAGCAGAAGAATTTATTATCATTATTATTATTATTGTTTCCGGTCAGTCGAGGTTTTACGTAGGAAAAAAAGAATGTCAGTGACCCCGAGACCTACGTGTATTTAAATCCAAATCGATAAAATCGAATCAGTTTTTATTTATTTATTTTTTTTTTGGGTAAAAACGCAGCGTGATCGATAGTTTTTTACCGAATAATAATAATAAAGATTATTATTTATTTATTTTCATTCGTGGGGGGAGGGGTTGGGGGGTGAGTGAGGAAAAAGGGAAAAAACTTTTTTTCAAAAAAAAAAATTTTTTTAATAAAAGTTTTGAAATTTTTTTTTTTTTTTGGTATAATGATAATACATCCTCATTTCTTTTGCTAAAAAAAAAAAAAAAAATGTGACATTTTATTACATAAATAATAATGATGATGACGATGATAATGATGATGATGATAATACATTATTAAAAAAAGAAGAAAAAAAAAGTTTTTTAATTAAGTTAAAAAGAAAGTTCTTTGAAAAAAAAAAATTTTTTTTTTTATTTGACATGTTTTACAACCTAAATAAGAAAGAAAGGAAAAAAAAGAGGAGGAGAGGGAAGAGGAAGGAAAGGAGGAAAAAAGTTTCGGGTAATTAAATTAATTATTAAAGAAAAAAAAAAAATTTTTTTTTTCTTCTTCTTCAACGTCGTAATCATATTGGAAAATTCATAACAAATTTTTTTTTAAGTTCATAAATTTTAATTTAGTTCGTAATTTTTTTAGTCATCATAATAAATTTCTTGTTTGTTCAGGTTTTGTTCAGGTTTTCAAACGATAATTTCATAGAAATAATTTACGAATTATCATCATCATTTAAATATATTATGAAAAGTTTTTTTTTTCGAAAGGAAATGACGTCAACGTGATTCGTAACACTCATAATTTTTTCTTTTTTTTTTTTTGACTTCAAAGTTTCATTTTAATTGTTATGGAGAAAATTTATTTTACGCGCGTTTTTTTTTTTTTTAAATAAAAAGTTCTAGAAAATTCTAAAGGGAATGAAAAACGATTATTGCGTGCGTGTGCGTGCGTGCGTGCGAGTTTCATTTAATGATAATTTTAATTCTAAAATTTTACTTTAACGAATCCTTTTTTTTTCTGCTTATGAAAAGTAAAAACCGGAAAAACGGAAAAAAGAAATTTCTTTATCATTATTATTATTATTATTTTGATTTTGACGTCATAAAGCAGTTAATAAAATTACTGATTATGCTACCTTATATGTTAACGTAAAATATTTTATCGAATTTTTTATTTAAACTTTTTTTTTTTTCTCCTACCATTCACAATAATTTGTAATTGTAGAAAAGTCACGATTTCGATATCAAATTAAGTATTTGCTCTTAATTGGTAACAAACATACGACGACAAACGACAACAACAACAACGACAACCGTACCCGACGCACACACACAAATCGACAAAAAAAAATTCCGGAAAAAGAAAAAAAAATTTTTTTTTTTGTAAGTTTTGTTCAAAAGAAATTAATTTAAAGCAGAATATAATTATTAAAAAAAAAATTTTCACACCCGTTTGTTTGTTTGTTTAAATAAATAATAATAATAATAATAGTAAATTTTTTTTCTGTAATTTTTTATAAAAAAAAAAAGTGGGGAGGAGCCTGGTTAATTCGAATTGAATTTTCCTATCGTTAACCGTGCGCAAAAATTTTCTTTTCATTTTTCTCATCCATTTAAATACGTTAATACGAAATTATTATTATTATTATTATTATTATTATTATTATTATTATTATTATTATTATTTCAAACCGTGTTTGTACGGGTAATTGAACTATTAAAATAATAATAACATAATAATAGAAAAAAAATAGCAGAAACATGGAATTATTTGGTCATTGTTTGAAATGCCCCCAGCAGGACAAACGCTGTAGTCCAAACAAACAAAAAAACCCGAACGGAAAATGTTAAACGTCCTACGTAGAATTTAGGGAAAATTTCTTAACAAAAAAAAAGGGGAGGAGGGGGGAAAATTTTGGAGAAGATTTGTTACAAAAGCGTAGGAGTTTGAAAATGAAAATTTTACAACAAAAGGATTTTAAAAGGAAAAGGAAAAACTGGACACTAAAATTTTAATATTATATTTTATTTTAACAAGAAATTATTTAATTATAATAAAAATTAATAAATAAATAAACGCGAAAATTATTTTGTCGTCGTTATTTAACAACAACAACAATAACAACAACAACAACCAAAACGTAAACAAATCAATCGTTTTTATAAAAAAATTGGTGAATGAATTTTTGTGACGTCATAAATCACAAAATTAGTATCCGTATCCGTTTTTATTTTTTTTTTTTAATATTTAACTTCCG